TATTTCACTTATGAGTATATGTTCAAGTGGCATCCACTTCAATATAAAGGCTTCAAGTTTATCATTCTTAATAGCTGAATAATACTCCATTGTGTAAAAATACCACATCTTTTTCAACCATTCCTTAGGTGATGGGCATCTTGATTGTTTCCAAGATTTGGCTATTACAAATTGTGCTGCTATAAACATAGGCACTCTTTATTTTATTTATTTAAAAATGTATTTAGGACAAGGTCTCCAGGGTCTCACTACATAGATCGGATGTAGTGATTCTCCTGTTTTCAGCCTCCCATGGGCTGGCATTACAGGTGCATGCCACCACGCCCAGTCTCAATCGCCCTCTCAGCGCGCCCTGGGGGCAGGCCCAGCGTGGCATGCTGGGGGATCGAACCCCAGTCCCTGCATCTGCCTACGCAGGCGCTTTAGTCCACTGAGCTGGCTGGTCCCTCTCTTTTTATTTTGAAATAATTTGACTAAGTAGGGGGTTGGGGCTCCCTGTAGGGGCTGAATGGCTGGGAAGGGAGGTAGTCACACTATAAGGCTAGTGTTTTCTGACTAGCTTTATTTGGTAGTGGTGGTGGTGACGGTGGTACTGGAAACTGAAGTTAGGGCTTCACACATATAGGGCAAGCGTCCCAGGAGCTATTCTCCCAGCTCTTGGTTGTTTACACTACGGAGACTCAAGCCAGGGCCTTTGCAGCTGCAAGTCCAGCCTTTTAAAAATTTTTATCTGCCAGATGTTGTGGTGTATACCTGTCATCCCAGCACTCGGGAGGCTGAGGCAGGAGGATTCCTGTGAGTTCGAGACCATCCTGGGCTCCATGAGCAATTTGAAGGCCAGGCTGCACTACATAGTGAGACCCTGTCTCAAAAAATCAAGCAAACAAAAAAATATTTTGAGAAAGGATCTTGGCTCAGATTGGTGATCCTCTTGTCTCAGCCTCTCAGAGTCCTGGTATCAAAGGTATACTCCCTGACTGTAGATCCTTCTGCCCCACAGTAGCTCAAGTCTGAGGTTACATACAATGAAAAAACAGCTCGTGAGGTAGGTCCTGGGTTTGATGCCTAGCACCAAAAAAGAAAAAAAGAGAGAGAGAGAGTGGGGGATAGCCAAAAATAACCTGGGTGCCTAGAGAGCAAATGTGTGTGTGTGTGTGTGTGTGTGTGTGTGTGTGTGTGTGTAAATCACTTTTAAACAGGAAAGCTTGCAGGCATGGTGGTGCGTACCTGTAATCCCAACATGTGGGAGCCGGCTAGTCCACCCTCTGGCCCTGGCCTGGGCCCTGCCAGGCTCCTTGGGATCTGGCAGCTGCCCCATGGTCTTTCCTCACACCAGGTCCACTCACCCCCCTGGCCTGGCCCTCTAGGGCCTTGACCCCAGGCCATCGGGAGCCAGGTCAGTTTGCCCGGCTTGGGTGAGGCCAGAGGCCTGAGGACCCTGGAGGCTTTGCACCTCGCAGGAGCCTTCCTTGCCACAGGGAATGGGGCTGGGAGGATTTGGGGAGCAGACCACTTGTTCTTCCCCCCCCACCACACCCTTTTACTGGGATTTTCCACCTGCAGTGGCCCGCTGGAACAGATGTGGCATTTGTGTTTTTATTCTTTTTATTTTTTTGTGTTTAGCACAGGGTCTACAGGGCCTCCCTGTGCAGATCAGACTCACAGTGATTCTCTGTTTTCAGTCTCCCAAGTGCTGACATTACAGGCGCACACCACCATGACCAGTCTCAATGGCCAGCTCAGCGCGCCGCAGAGGCAGGGCCAGCATGGCATGCTGGGGAGAGAACCTGGGCCACTGTGTGCTTTAGTCCACTGAGCTATTGCCAGCCCTGTTTGTGTTGTGTTTTGTTTTGCTGACAGGATCTCCTAGAACTCACTGTGTAGTACAGGGTGGCCTCAAGGCTGTCCTCCCTGCCTCAGCCTCCTGAGAGGTGGATTATAGACCCATGCCACTATGCCCAGTTTATTTTGTGTTTTTGAGGTAATCTTACTATGTAGCTACGCTGGCCTTGAACTCACTGCAATCCTCCTGCCTCAGCCTCCCGAGTGCTAGGCTTACAGTGTGTGCTACCACATCTGACAGGAATCTCTGAGAGCAGGAAAACAGAGCATCCCCCGAAGAGACCCTATGTCTCCCCTTCTTGTTTCCTCTTTACCCTAGGCCTTGCCTGCCTGAGTCTGTCCTCTTGGAAGTCCTGGTCTGTCTTGCCAGGCGTGGTGGCACATGCCTAGGAATCTCAGATCTCTGGAGGCCGAGGCAACGGGTTAAAGTGAGTTCAACACCAGATCTTGTCTCAAAAAACAACAGAGAGAACTCCTTGTCTTCTTCTAAGGGGACACATGCCAGCAGCACTTTGCCCGGACTCTTCTGGCTGCCAGAGGCCAGGAGGCCATCTGGTCTGTAGCCTGTCACAGCCATCGGGGGCAGCCCTGGTCACAGGGACCTCTCACTCCTGCCCGGGCCCTGTGCTCTGTACGTGGGTACACTACCCATTTAGTTTCCAGCTGCCGCTCCACTCTTGCTGTCCTTTCTGCAGGACACTTTTCCCCCTACTCCTTCCCCATCACATTCAAGCCTGTGCCCATCTGGAAGTAGGCTGACCTCACATGGGACTAAGATGCACAAATAGCGGCGCATGTGGGGCACACCTCTGTCCTGACACAAGAGGCAGAGGCAGGAATATCTCAAGCTCCATCCCAGCTTAGACTATATAGGGAGTTTGCTGGCCTGGACTTTTTTTTTTTTTTTTTCATTTTCCTACATTGATGACATTTATAAAGCATTTTACCAGTGTGTGTTTTCTGATTCTGATAACATTTAGCAGATTGACTGAAGTTTGTTCCCAACATGCAGAGTTCATTTCCAGATTCAGTAGTCTCTTGTCTTAATTCTGACTGATATATGAAGGGTTTACTACAGAGATTGCCTTCAAGATGTATCTCCTCATTCTGAGCATTTTCCTGCCGGGGCTTGACGGTGTCTGTTTTCTTCCTTTTCACAGGTCCAGTGGCTATCTGTCCCTCTTCATCAGGGCTGTTCTTTTTCTCTGCATTATGATTTTTTGGGAAAGCTGTTTGTTTTCCCTTCCACAGGATTTGTGTTTCATCCTTGTGAAAAACAAAATCCGATTTGCCGTATGGACATCGCAGAGACTGCAGGTTCCTGATGGTTTCCAGCATCACAGCTGTGCAGAGCTTTCTCTGTGCTGTGTCCAGCAGAGCCCATTCCTCTGGGGTGAATTTGATGGTCACATCTTCAATGGTGATTGATTCCTCTTGATGCGCTGCCATTTGTAGTTTCCTGTAGAGGTTAACTGACAGAGCAATCAAGATGAAAACATGGAAATTTATGAGAAGAATTTCAGACTACTTGAAAATTCGTGTTGTAGGTAGCAGAAAATCAGTCACTCCAAGCTTTGCGATCCAAACCCTCTGTCCAATGATCTCGGTGGGAAACTCCAAAATGATACAGGGAGAAAAACTGGTCTTGGGTGGGTGACTTCCAAACCATACAGGGAACCTCCAAATGACTTAGAGAAAAACAATCTCTGGACCTGACCTGCATGAGTTCCTGTTCTTTAAAACGGAAAAATGAATTTTAGGAACAAACGGAGGTTATGAGCAGAATATATTTATTGAGAGAAAGAAAGCTCCTGTCCCGAGAGAGGGACAGGAGGGGGGGCCCAAGCAGGTAGTTTCCCCTGGCCTGGACTTTATAGAGATATGATGTTTCAAAAACTAAACATTAAAATAATGTAAGACATACACACGGAAACAGAATAACACAGCCAGACACAAGGCCATGTACTTGGAAGTGGCCCCCCGAAATCTGCAGGAAAAGCTGGGCATGGTGGTACATGCCTGCAATCCCAGCACTCAAGAGGCTGAGGCAGGAGTATCATTATGAGTTCGAGACCAGCCTGGGCTACAAAGCGGGCTCAAGGCCAGCTGGAGCTGCACAGCGATACCGTCTTGAAAACAAAATAAAAAACAAATCTGCAGGAAGATCTTAATAAAGAGCAGCAGTTGCAGTCTTGTAGGTTGGGCAAGGGAGGTCCTGGGGCGCCCTGCCACTGGGCGCAAGACGCAGGTGGCAGCTGACCACTGAAGCAGAACACCATGTTTCCCAGCTCTCAGCAGTGACCCCAGGCTGGGTTAAAACTGCACGAACTAAGGCAGAGTGCAAGCCCTTAGAGCCCAGGGTGTTGATTCTAGTTACATAACCAGGCACTGCAAAGCCTTCCCTTGAGAGGTTTCCAAACTTTTCAGGTTTGTGTGGACATAGGCACCAGGAGCCAGGTTACATGGCAAGCAGGCCTCTGGCAGCAACAGAACCCACGCTGTAGCCTGCTTCTTTAGGAACTGGATGACAGCCAGGCGTGGTGCAGGATGCCTGTAATCCCAGCACTCAGGAGGCAGAGGTGGGAGGATTGCCTGGAAGTACCCACCGCTCAGCACTCCTGGGTATTTCAATACAACAGAAGCACCATTTTCTTGGGGATAAAACACTTGAATTTTTCCCAGTAAATTTCCTTCCTTCCTTCCTTCCTTCCTTCCTTCCTTCCTTCCTTCCTTCCTTCCTTCCTTCTTCCCTCCCTCTCTCCCTCCCTCCCTCTCTCTCTTGCTCTCTCTAATGTATATAGTACAGGGTCTGCAGGGTCTCACTACACAGATCAGACTCGTAGTGATCTTCCTGTTTGTAGCCTCTCAAGCACTGGGATTATAGGCACACACCCAATCTCAATCTCGTCTCAGTGCGCCTGGGGACGGGGCCAGTACAGAGATGGAATCCTGGCCCTGTGCCTGCTTAAGCAAGCACTTTAGTCCGCTGAGCTATCTGGCTAGCCCTCCAGCAAATTTCAAAATCAAACAATGTTATAAGGCTAGAGGTGAAGTAAATATTCACTTATATAATATAATACATTCTGTGTGCATGTGCGCGCATGTGCAAGCGCGCGTGAATGCTCTGGCCCTCAAAGCCAGGGCCTCATGTTAAGGAGGTACTCCGCTACTGAGCTATATCCCCAGCCTCAAAATTATTATTATTTTATTTATTTATTTATTTATAGACAAGGTCTCCCAATGCAGTTCAAGGTGGCCCTGAGCTCCCTTTGTAGCACAGACTGGCCTCAAACTTGCAGCGATCCTCCTGCCTCAGCCTCCTGAATGCTGAAATTACAGGCATAAATTCTTTAATTTATTAACTTAACATTCTGGGAATATCTGATTCTATCTTACTTTGTTTTAAAACAACCTCTTTCTTTCTTCCTTTTTTTGTGGAACCAGGGAATGAACTCAGGCCCTTGAGCTTGCCAGGGAAGCACTTATTCTAACTGAGCCATCTCCCTGGCCCCAAGACAACCTCTTTGTATATTGCCAGGCTGTCTTCAAACTCCCTGTGTAGTACAGGCTGGCCTTGAACTTGCGAGCCTTCTGCCTCAGCCTCCTGAGTGCTAGGATCAGGTGTGTGTGATTTTATGCAAGTACTTTACCCCATGCCTGGAGTGACACTGGGCTAATGGTTGGCCAAGAGTGAGGCAGAAAGGCCCCCTCACCCTGAAGACTTCCAGGACACGAGGTGGCCTTCTCAGGCCTTGGCCCCAGCGTCCCCAGCTGTTCCATTCTTCCCTGTTCATTGCACAGCGGAGGGGCCCAGGTTGGAGAAGGGGCCACCGGAGCAGGCAGCGAGCTGCAGCTCGACCTCAGGTAACCCAGGGGAGTGACCGCTGGCCTAGGGGCGAGCGCAGCGGCTGCGAAGGTGCAAAGCTTCCCTGTGGCTGGCACTGCAAGCAGCTGCAGGAAGCGCTTGCCGCGCTGAGGTGGGTGGGGAGGCCAAAGGACCCCGCCCCCCAGGTTGGCAGGTCTGTCCCTGGGCAGACGGATCACCCGACACAGACGTCAGGGCCCGGACTCTGAAGCTGGCTCAAAGCCGAGTGGACGCAGCGGCCTGGCAGCCTCTCCAGCTGGGCCAAAGCCTAGAAATAGCGCTGGGCGGCCTGGCCAGCTCAGTGCAGCGACGCAGCCATGCCGGTGCTCTCCAAGCGCTACCCCAGGAACTGCCTGCTGGCCGTCATGGACCGCTGCTCGGCCGCTGTGCGCACCATGGAGCAGGTGGTGATGATCCCCAGCCTGCTGCGGGACGTGCGCCCCGGGGGGCCCAGGCAGCAGCCCGAGGCCCCCGACCTCTACGCCTACTTCACCATGCTCAAGAGCATCCGCGTGGAGGTGGACCACGGGCTGCTGCCCAGGGAGGAGTGGCAGGCCACGGTGGCAGGCCGTCTGCAGGACGGGCCGGGCGATGAGGAGGCCGGCGCCGAGCAGGACGCTGAGGGGCAGCCGCTCTCCGCAGAGGAGGACCTGGAAGCCCAGTTCCACCTGCACTTCTGCAGCCTCCACCACATCCTCACTCACCTCACCCAGAAAGCCCAGGAGGTGACGAGGAAATACCAGGAGATGACGGGACAGGCCCTGTAGGCCACCAGCTCCGAGGAGGTAACAGTGGCCGCGCTCTCGGGTCGGCGTCTCTGGGGGGCCTGGGAACCTGGTGCGGGAGGACAGCCTCGCCTGCGGCCGGAGCCACCTCACGCCCGGGTGTGGGACTCCCCCGCGAGGGCCCGCGTGGGGTCTGCCTTCTGACCTTCCCTCCGGGTCCTGGGGAGTCAGGGAGGAGAGCTGTGGCAGGCAGGGAGGAGCTGGGCGTGCTGCGCCCACCGCACACGCGGCTGGGAAGCTCAGCAGTGAGCCCTGCACGCCTTGGCCAGGAAGGGAATGCGCTTGCACCCCACGCACTTCTTTCAGAACCAGGCATGGTGCAGGGTGCCTGAAATCCCAGCACTCAGGAGGTGGAGGCAAGAGGGTCAGGAGTTTGAGCCAGCTAGGGCAGTTTACTGACTTTTCAACCCTGTCTCAAAATAAAAGACAGAAGGGTGGGGATGAAGCTTACGGCAAAGGCTCTTAGTGTAAAGGTCTACTGCAAACAAACCTCACAGTGACAAAAATGAGGGTTTTTTATTTCTATGCTACAAATGAAGACATATTTACTGAGGTTTGCTTGTGAATCCCCTGGGGACATGGTATGTTTTCCACTTTTTCAGGTCACGGAAAATTACCTTTGTTCCCTTTTTCTGTCCTCCTCCTCCGCACCCCCCTTCTTCTTCTCCTTATTCTTCTTCCAGGCTGCCCTTGAACTTGCTGTGTAGCCCAGCCTGGCATAGACCTCACAATCCTCCTGCTTCACCCTCCCAAATTTTGGGACTACAGCTGTGCCCCACATTTATATGGCATATGGGGGCACAGAAGTGAGGCTCCTCACTGCTTCCTGCAACAGGCAGAGGGCAGCCTACATTGCCACCAAACAGAATGCTGAAGGGTCACTGTCATGGCCCTCAAATCCAGCTGGGCACACAATGGTGGCCCTAGGCAGCTCTGCTGTGTGTGCGTGCTGGAATTTGAGTCCATATATCCACACACAGGGCTAGGGCGGTGACATGTGAGAGAACAGCGACCTTGACTAGGAAGATGGCCCCAATCTAGACCAGAGCGCTTGCCAGTGTTGACCCTGCGCCACCCGCCAGCCTGCTCTGAAAGACAGGCTTCAGCAGTTTCAAACCACACCTGGCGCTTGTGTGGCATGAGCTTGGCATGCCTGGTCTACCAGTAAGGGAGGTCAAGTCAGGAAGGTGAAGTGAGCCACCCCAAGTCATGGAGCTAAGAGGACAAACGCGAGCCTGAGCCGACCGCAGGTGGAGTGTTCTTTGCCAGATAGCCACTCTACTGTTCTTATGACGCAGGTGGCAGGGCTGCCTCACCTGCCACAGACCTGCGGAGCTCTGCTCAGGGCTCCCAGCCATTCTCCCCTTCACCTGGATGCAAATGCCCACTGCAAGTCCACCCCTCCTCCCCTGTGGCTTCCCCTGCCTTCCAGGGATTCTTCTCAGATTTAACTGAGAGGCTGAGGCAAAAGGATCACAAATTCAAGTCCATTCTGTATGGATGATTTAACAAGACCTTGACTCAAAAAAAAAAAAAAAAAAAAAAAAAAAATCCAGGCATGGTGACACTTGCTTGTCGTCCAAGCTGAGGCAGGAGGAGTGCCGTAGGTTCCAGGCCAGTCTGGGCTACGCAGTTAAGTTCAAGGCCAGACTAAAAGATACAGCGAGACCCTGTCTCAAAAAACAAAACAAAAAAACAAAAACAAAAAAGTAACCCCCCAAATACTGGGTACACTGGGCAGAAGCCCGAGCCTCAATGCTTCGTCTCACACACACACACTGGGTGCTTTTCTGGGCTCCTTGTCCTGGACAACCTCTACCTCAGCTTGGCCGTAGGATGGAGAGAACAGAGTGGTCCCAGCTCGGACCACGACACTCTCTCACTGCTGTGCCTACTGCAGCGTGTGTGTGTGTGAGAGCACCCTGCCTTTGAGCTCACTCGACCGTAACATTTTCCCCACTCCACAGATCACGCCCATGGGAGGAAGCCTCGGAGATGAGGGCTCGAAGCGACCCAGCCCTGAGCCAGAAGCGTGGCAACATGTGCCCGGGACGCCCCTCTATGTCTGTTAGCTGTTCACAACGGTTACTGGCCCACCTCAGGATGTCTGTCGCCACCTAGGTCCTTTCCACCTCTTGCCAGTGTGGGGTGGTGGCTGTGGTTCACAGCACTGACCTGCTTTGGGTGTCACCCACGAGGGCCTAAATCCCCTCATGTATAAATCGGGAGTCTCAATCTACCTCACAGGGTTCCAGAAATGAAACAAGACAAATCGACAGTACTTGGCGTGAGAGCCATTGTAGCAGGCTGATTTTCCTCTCACCCGCTCCTGTGTATTTGCTCCAGTCTTTGCTGCTTTATGGAACGAAGAGAACAGGCTATTGCAGTAAATGGCTCACCCTGCTGAACAGATTAACTATAAATAAACATATTTATTGTAGTAGCAATTTAAGAAGAAATGCCTTCTCTTTGTGTATCTTTTTTTGCGGGTAGGGGTACAGTGGATGTTGGACACAGGCTCCTGCTAGGTAGTTGAGGCTGTCATTGAACTCACTGTAGCTCTGGCTGCACCACAGCAATCCTCCTGCCTCAGCTTTCCAAATGCTGAGATTACCAGCATGCGCCACCATCCCTGGGGCCTATTTATTTATTTATTTATTTATTTTTCCTATTTATTTTTAAAGCACCTTGTCTGACATGATTCCATCTTACAAGTATCATGCCCATAATTTGATTTTTCCCAATTTGTGGTGCCAACCAATTTGAAATCATGTAATTTTAGTAATCTTCAAAAATTAGCCTGATTGGGGAACTACCCACTCGGGCCCCCCCTCCTGTCCCTCTCTTGGACAGGAGCTTTCTTTCTCTCAATAAATATATTCTGCTCGTGACCTCGTTTGTTCCTAAAATTCATTCTTCAGTTTTAGAGAACACGAACTTGTGCAGGTCAGGTCCAGAGATCATTTTTCTCTATGTCATTTGAAGGTTCCGTGTATTGTTTGGAGGTCACCCACCCGAGACCAGTTTTTCTCCCTGTATCACAGGGATTGAACTCAGGCCTTTGCATTTGCCAGGGAAGCGCTTATTCCAGTGAACCATCTCCCCGGCCCCCTCGATCTGTTTTTCCAAGCCATTTATTTTTGGGAAGGGGAGTGCTCGCTCTCTCTCTCTCTCTCTCTCTCTCTCTCTCTCTCTCTCTCTCTCTCTCCCTCTCTCTCTCTTTTCTTTTCCGGAACCAGGGATTGAACTCAGGACCTTGCACTTGCCAGGGAAATGCTAACCCATCTCCCTGGCCTAGGGAGCTCATTTTAAAAAACTTTTAAAGCTATGTGTGCTATGGTAGTGCACACCTATAATCCCAGTGATACTGGGAAACCTCCAAATGACACAAGGAGAAAGACTGATCTCTCAACCTAAAAGGTACCTAGGATGAGTTCATGTTCTCTAAAACCGAAGAATGAATTTTGGGAACAGGTGGGGGTTGTGAGCGGAATGTATTTGTTGAGGGAAAGAAGGCTCCTGTCCAAGAGAGGAACAGGAGGGGGGTCTGAGCAGGTAGTCCCCCAGGAAGCTGTCTCTTCCAGGGACTTTTATAGAGTAAAACCATGTGGTGAGGCGGGTCTAAGGTGGTAGAGAACATGGGAACAAGCTTAGGTGGGCATGAGGTGGGACAAAACTATGGTCAACCAGTGAGATTATAAGCACCTTTGCTCAGGAAGGACCTAGAAGCCTGTCCCGGAGCACCTGGTTCCACATGCCCTCACCCAGGAGATGCAGGCTGGTTGAAAAGCTCTCTGTGAACTACCTGGTTTAAATATCCTTGGTCCTGCCTGTCACTCATGGAGCATCTCCTAGGAACCCAGCGGGTGCTTGGCGTGGCTTGCCTGAAAGGGCAGCGGCCAGACAGGGCCCCAGCTTGGGGAAGACATGGTTTGGAAAGCAAGTGCACAAATCCGGCTCAGATCTGCAACTCCACCAGCAAGGACTTAGGATCTCATTAGGAAGAAGAATGAGAAACTACTGAAGGCTTCCTCCTCAAAATAAGGATTGAGACAGAAGAACTGTTTACTCATTAAGGTTCAAAGGCTTTGGTTGCTGCTGTTCAAATTTCAGACAATGGAATGCAAAGGCGCAGCTGTGGGCGCACGTGGCCCCAAGACCTCAGCTGCAGGACAGCTCCGTGCACCTGCTCCTGCCACCTGCCAAAGCCTTTGCCCTCTGGGAAGAGGGCGGGAGCTCGGCCTCAACAGGATGGTAGACCCTTCCAAGGCTTCCCCTCACACGAACACCATTTATTTATATGGTTTTTGTTTGTTTGTTTTGGCCAAGTCTCATTATATTGTTCAGGCTGTCCTTGAACTTGTGGGCTCAAACAACCCTCCTGCCGCAGCCTCTCTAGTAGTGGGGATTATGGGCATATTTCGCTGTGCCTGGCCAGCATCATTGATTTGAACAATTCTCTGTGTGTGAGCAATTACAGCACCTGGACATAGCAAAGAAATAAAACACACAGCAAAGAAAAAATAAATAAATAAATAAAAATTAGCCTGATTACGAAATCTGAGTTTGAAAACAAAAATTATTCAGAAATAAAAACCCACCTCCAGGTGTGCTCTCATTTTTTTTTAAATGTATTTAGCACAGGGTCTACAGGGTCTCACTACACAGATCAGACGCATGGTGATCTTCCTGTTTTCAGCCTCCCAAGTGCTGGGATTACAGGTACGCACCACCACACTCAGTCTCAGTGCTCCCGGGGGCAGGGCTGGAATGGCACCTGGGGATCACGCACAGGTAGCTGCGCCTGCCTAAGCAGGCACGTTAGTCCACTATCTAACTGACCCTTGCTATTCCTAACTGCACCAAGCTCCCTCATAGGCCAGCTGCAAAGCCTTTCGCCAGCATGATCCCCCAGAGCCTTACACAGCATCAGTTTTAATCCTCCTCCTAAATCACTGTTTTTGCAGTGAGCACAGAAATAATTGCTCCTTATAAAACCTTTCATGACTTCTCAAAATGTATGGGATCAAAGTCAGTCTGACTCACAAAGCCCTTCATAGCCTGGCTTGCCCTGAATCTGCTTGCACCAGACAGGAGCAGACAAAAATTTTCTATTATTTCAACCATTTCAGGCTTTGGAAGCCATAACAACATGAAAGCTGCCCAACACAAACCATAAACATCATTGTTACAATAAAACTTTATTGGCAATGGGACATATTTTTCCCAAGAACTGAAGATTTCCTAATCTAACCTAGAACTATATTCCATTTTATTATTTTATTTTGTGGTACCAGGGATCGAATTCAGTACCTTGAGCTTGCCAAGCAGGCACCTATTCTACTGAGCTATCTCCCTGGTCCCAATTTTGTTTATTGCAGTGTTAGGCATTGAGCTCAGGGCCTCCTGCATGCTAAGTAAACAGTCAAACAGGGAGAAACATTCCCAGTCTCAAAAACCCATTTAAAAACTTTTCAGGGCCAGGCAGACAGCTCAGTGCTACAATGTCTGCCTGGCAAGTTCAAGGTCCTGAGTTCAACTCCTGGTACCAAAAAAAAAAAAAAAAAAAAAATCTTTCAGATATTTTCTTAAAGCTAGGTGAATGAAAAGTGGCTGTCTACTATTTATTGTTTTTCTTACAATAAAAGTCAGAGCAGGTGGCCGGCCAGATAGCTCAACGGATTAAAGCGCCTGCTTAGCCAGATGCAAGAACCGGGCTTCAATCCCATGTGTCATCTGAGACCTAAGACTGGGCGAGGTGGCGCACCTGTATTTCTAGCGCTTGGGAGGCTGAAAACAGGAGGATCACTAGGAGTCTAATCTGTACAGTGAGACCCTGTACTAAATACCTTTAAAAAAAAAAGTCAGAGTAGGGCTGGGGAGATAGCTTGCCAGCCTAAGCCCCTACCAGGGAAGCTCAAGGTCCTGAATTTGATTCCTGGTACTGCATGCTGTGCTGGCCCTGAAGCCAGGCATGTCTGTAATCCCAAAGCTGGGGAGGCTGAGACAGGAGGATCACTAAGAGTCCAAACTGCATAGCAAGACCCTATATTAAAAAAAAAAATAAAATAAATAAAATAAATAAAAAAGAATACTCATGATAATCTTTTTTTCATAATAAGCATTTTAATTATAACACAGAGATTAACATTGACTGTAGTCATGGAAACATTCCATAAAATTCAGAATTAAAGTGTTTTGAAGACTTCAACGAATTGGATGGAATTCTTCATGAATTTCACTGTAAGTTTTCTTCTCTATAAAAGAAAAGACCACAAAAATTTATTTTAAAATTATCTTTAAAAGACTTGCATTACTTGGGGTGGATTGTAGCTCAGGGGTGGATTACCTGCCTAGCACACACAAGGTCCCTGTACCACAAAATGAATTTTAAAAATTACATTTCCTAGCTGGGCATGGTGATGCATGACTGGAATCCCAGCACTCAGGAGGCTAAGGCAGGAGGACTGCCATGAGTTTGAGGTCAGCCTGGGCTACATAGTGAGTTCAAAGTTAGCCTGAATTGCATAGCAAGACCCTGTCTCAAAAACCAAAACAAAGCTGGGTATGTAGCTCAGCAACACAAGTGCTTGCCTGACAAGTGCAAGGTCCTGAGCTCAATTCTCAGCACAAAAACAAAAAGGCAATATATAATTCTTCCTAAAATACACAAACGGGTCTGGAGATATAGCTTAAGCACCTGTGTAGCAAGCACCCAGGTTCGATCCCTGGTACTGAATGCCCTGCAGGCCCTGTGCTGAGCCGGCCACCTAAACTGGGTGTGGTGGCACACTCCTGTAATCCTGCACTGGGGAGGCTGAGACAGTATGATCACTATGAGTCTGAGCTGTGTAGTGAGACCCTGTACCAAATAAATAAATAGAAGATTTAAAATGAACATAGAAATGAATACCAAACAAACTCACAGACAGAGCCTTGCTATGTCTGAAGGTCTGCAATTCTCCACAATCCCTACATTGGAACCGGCTCCCATGCTGTGTGACACCAAGAGGAAAGGCGGGTGTGCACGTGTGCACAGCAGTGAGGCCAGCACTCTGGGACACGCTGGACCTCAGCCAGGACAATGCAATAACTCAGCGAGATCTTGCTTGGTATCTATACACATTACAAAACAAACGTGCATCCCTGGGAGGTGAGTGGGTCCCAAGGATCAAGCCCCTGTGGGACAGGCGTGGGATTATAAATGCGACTAGAGGGGCTCATGGGTCCCCTCTCCCACGTGAGAGCACAGCAAGAAGTCATCTTCTAGGAGGCAGAAAAGCCCCGGCACACAGTGAAACCGAGGGCACCTTGTCCTGCACTTCCCAGCCTCCAAAGCCGTGAACACCCAGATGTAGGAGACAGTCTAAGGGTTGTTGTTATAGCAACCCAAGCAGAGTAAGTGAAACCCCTGAGCATCTCCTTATTTTCTTGTTGGCTTGGCAATCACCAAAATCACCAGTAAGTTTTGTTTAGAACTGTGGTGACACCAGACAGCCTGCAGGGTCATCCTGCTGAGGAGTAAGGACAGCACTATGGAGGGAAGGCTCGGTCTGTGACCAGAGCAGCACTGCCACAGAGACCCATCTGCCACCGGGTAGGGTGGGGTGGAGGCACCCATGTGGCCACGAGCCTCTGCCGGCCGGGGGGCTCCTGGGAGCACCTGCTCTCCACAGGCCCCAAGTGCCCGTGTGAGGACTGGCCGCCCTGCCGCGGGAATCACTTGTACAAATCAGAATCTCCAGAATTCCTTCAGGCTCAGCTATCCAGTGGGTGTGGGTATTCTCCTCCTGATGTAACTACGGTTCATGGGAATATTATAGAGCAATGCAGTAATAAAATTTTAGGCCCTATTAGAGGCTTCAGGATCATCCACTTTGTCTATTGAAATTTAAATGCTTTATATTACACATTTGTATGTAAAACTTGTTTGTATGTAGAAATTCAAAATTGTTCTAGATTAATTTACATGTTAATGTCAATCACTCTAGGCTCCGTGAAGACAAAAACGTTCCTAGTTAGCCAGGGACAGTACTACATGCTTACAACCGCAGGTGCCCAGCAGGAGGATCACAAGTTCAAGGTCAACCAAGGCAATTTAGCAGCACCCTATTTCAAAAGCAAAACAAAAGAGCTGGGAGAGCACAGTGGTAAGGTACACCTGGGGTCAATCCCCAGTACCACAGTAAGTTAAATTCCTTTCACCCAGCATAGCACAGCAGCTGGCAGGTGCATGCTGGAAGACCAGGCAGATTCCGCAGGGCAGGGCAGCTGCTCTGCACACACGGTGCTAGGTGCAGGGTCTGTACTAATGCTTGAAGAGGAAGCTACTTGTCCAGGGAGGGACACGTGTCTATAATGCGCAAAATAAAAGGAACAGCCCAGTATTTCTATTTGAGCACGGATAATTACCTCAGCCTGGGAGAGGAGACATTCTAAGTCTGGATTTTCTCCTGCAGCAACAGATAGCATTTTGTTTTGTTTTATTTTGTTTTGCTTTTTGTCAGGACCTTGTGCTTGCTAGGCAGGCAGTGCACTGCTGAGTTACATCCCTGGCCCCAGTTTTGTTTAAGATAAGATCCTTTTATGAGATTCAGGCTGGTCTTAAATTCAAAGTGACCGTCCTGTTCAGCCTCTAAATGCTGCCATTATAGGTGCATCCACTGTGGCCCGTTTAACAGCCAAAAGGAGTGATGGATGGCTGTGGAAATAAGACCAAGCTGGAGGGCGTGATGCAGGCCTGGGGTCTCAGCACTCGGGGTGGGGCTGGGGGCCAGGAGGACTTCTCTGTTGTCCAAAAGCAACAGAAGTACTCAATCAAAATCATATGTATGGGGCAGGGTGTGGGGAGCACATCTGTACTCTGGCACAGAACTCCTGAGGCTGGACTGCTTTGAGTTCAAGGCCAGCCTAAGCTACACAGCACAGCGAAAGTCTGCCTCAAAAAAACTGAACAAAAAATACTGAATATACACTTTTAAGAGATTCTGGTCCAGTGGATGCAACTGGAAAATATAATGTTGAGTGAAATAGACCAGATAGTTAAGTTTTAGTATGTGATGGTACCTTCCATTTGTCAAGGCAAAGTACACAGAGATTAATACAGGATGGATAAAAGGGGACAGGGATGGATTTCTTGCAAGTAGAAAAGTGTCCAGGGACCCAGGAGTGAGAGTGAGGGAAGCAGCCAGAATGTGGGTGTGCCACACACCGGACCTGAGGAGGCCTTTGATGACATCACACACCTTAAGCATAAGACATGATTAATATCAACAAGAATGAGAAAGGGGGAAGGGGAGGCACAGGAGGAGGAGGAGGAGGAGGAGGAGGAAGAGAAAGGGATTAAAAAGAAATTAAAGGGTCGGGGATGAAGCTCAGTGGTGCAGTGAGTGCCTGGCAAGGGCAAGGTCCTGAGTTCGATTCCTAGTCACCCCCTCACCAAAAGGCGTCAACAGAACATAAAAGGTACTTGACACCATGGATTTTTTTTATTTATGTATTTGGTACAGGGTCTCAATATGCAGCTCAGACTCATAGTGATCCTCCGGTTTTCAGCAACCTCAGCACTGGGCTTACAGGCATGCACCCTCACACTCAGACGCGGCCAGCTCAGTGCACCCTGGGGCTGGGCTGGCGCGGCACGCAGATGGGATTGGAACCTGGTCCCTGAGCTTGCCAAAGCAGGCGCTTAGTCCACTGAGCTATCTCACCGGCCTCCATGGGTAAGATTAACGAGCAAATATGATGCGGAGTAAAGAAACGAATTTCTGCAATTAACTTGAAATACCTTTTTCAACAAAATCCTCCGGATGCGATTTCATGTATGCAAACATGTCGTGATCCCTTATGGCATACATATAGTCCTGCCGCTTTAGAAGATAATATCCAATAAACATAAAGGAAGTGATATACAGAAGCTGGCGATGCACACCTGGAATTCAAATGACAAACCCCGACGAAAGTAGAAATCAGTCAACATGCACAAAGAATTAAATTTTTACATTTCAGATATATAATTTGTTATGGTATTTCTAACATTTAAAAATATTTTTAAAATTCTCTTTTATTTAATTTATTTATTTGGTACAGGGTCTCACCACACTGCAGAGCCCTCTAATATTCTTTCTTTTTCTTTTTTGTATTTTAGGGAAGGGTCTGCAGGGTGTTCAGGGTCTCACTACCGGATCACTCAGTAGTGATCCGCCTGTTTACAGCCTCCCAAGAGCTGGGATCACAGGCATGTGCCATGCCCAGTCTCAAGTGCCCATTTTAGTGTGGCCCAGGATGGCAGGCCCAGGGATGGAACCCAGGCCCCCGTGCCTGCTTGCAGGTGCTTTAATCCGTTGAGCTATTTGGCTGGCCCTAACAGTCTTTTAAAACAAACGAAAGCTTTTGTACTCTAAACAGCCTTAGCTGATCTTTTTTTTTTAGGAATTAAGGATTTATTTTGCTGACAGTTACTGGAAGTTTCACTGCATACTCAGCTGGTTCAAAGGCAGACTTATTTTGAGACTCCAGATATCCTGAGAATGGTTTCTGAATCTCCAGCCCTCAGGAGACTGAGGCAGGAGCATCGCTATGAATTGGAGGTCGGCCTGGGTTCCCTAGCTTAAAGCAGCTTTAATTGCATAGCAAGACATAGGCACCTTCTTTGCTCCATTTGCTCCAGAGAGAGGGCCAGTGCCTCCCTCTTCTCCCAACATGTCCCCTCTGCCTGAGGCGGTCTCAATCACTACCTGGCTGCCCCGTGCCACACAGTGTGGAGGAGACGCTGGGCACCTCTCATCCTTAGCTGACCTTGACCTCAAGATATCCCATGCCTTAAATGTAGATATAGCAATTCTGCAGAGCAATGCTAGCTCTGCAAATATAACTAACAATGGAACCCAACTTGCTTTTTTTGAGACTAGGCCTTGTTAGGCAGTTCAGCCTAGCCTTGGACTCTCAGTAATCTTCCTGCCTCAGCCTCCCAAGCGCTGGATTACAGGCATGAGTTACTATGCCTAGGAAGAATCCAATATATTTTAAATTTAGATTTTATAAAACACTTAATGGAAAAATGGAGGTAAGAAAAACCCTAGATTAAAAAAAAAAAAAGAAAAATTCTAGATTAAAAGCAGGTGAAAAAAGCTGGGCGTCGAGGTACACTTCTGTAATCCTAGTGTTTGGGAGGATTAGGTAGAAGGTCTGTGAGTTTGAGTCCTGCTGAAGATTCAGAGACCCTGCCTCAAAAAAACCAACCCAAATCAAATCAAACTAGAAAAAAAAAAAATTGGGGGGCTGGCCAGATAGCTCAGTGAACTAACGCCCCTGCTTAGGCAGATGTAGGGACCAGGGTTTGATCCTGGGTGCCTTAAAGCCCTGGCCTGTCCCCTGGCCCTGCCCCCAGGGCAAGCTGAGACAACTGAGACCGGGTGTGGCAGCACAAGCCTGTAATCTCAGAGCTCGGGTGGCTGAAAACAAGAGAATCACTACAGAGTCCATCTATGCAGTGAAACCCTGTAGAACCTATACTAAATACATTAAAAAAATCTTTTCCCCAGCAAATTAGTTTTATATCTAAAAATCTCTGTATTCTAAGGCCCTTTCAAGATATGATAAAATGCAGGTAAAACCCTCTACAAATGGTTCAAAAATAATTTGGGGAAAAAAAAAACCAATTTGGTTTGTCGTATATCCCAAATTATATTTGCATATTTATTGGCTACTTGAACAGTCAGCTATACCATACCTCATTAAGAAATCTCTTTTCTTTTGTACCATTTGCATATCAAAAACCATATTCAAACTGTATTTTAAAAATCACCCTGTTTCAGTGAGGCATGGTGGTGTATACTATACCTATAATCCCAGCAGCTGGAGGCTGAGGAAGGACAACTGCTGTTAATTTGAGGCTAGTCTGGGCTATAGAGTAAGAGCCTGTCTCCAAAGACAAACCAAAACAAACAAACAAAAACCAAAACCACACACACAGAACCAAAACATTCCATTTCTAAAGAAGGGACAAGAAAAAAAAAATGAAAGTTTTTATACATAAGGAAAGGAAACGAGGTTAAAGGGATGGGAGGAAATGGGGAAAGCTGCAGAAAGATACACCACATACAGGGACAAATCATGATTTTTTCCCCTCCGTGGTACTGGGGATCGAACTCAGGAGCTTGTGCTTTCCAGGCAGGCGCTTATGCTGCTGAGCTGTGTATCCCCAGCCCCTATGATGAATGTTACCAATATGTATATCTAAGATGTACCTGTAAAATTTACACACACACACACACACCCTATCCCATGTCTAACTGGTGATGGAATTTTGTATGATACCAATCCTACTCAGGAGGCTGATGTAGGAGGGTTGCTTGAGCTCAGAAGTTTGAAGCCAGCCTGGGCACCTAGACAGAAAAGAAAGAAAGAACAGAACAGAACAGAACAGAACAGAACAGAACAGAACAGAACAGAACAGAACAGAACGAAAGAACGAATGAACAACAGACAGAAGAAAGAGGGAAGGAGGGAGGGGTCACCCTAATATAATGAGACTGGATGGAATCACTCGGCCTAGGAAGTCAGAATCGGAGATCTGAAAGAGATCGTGTATCACTGCCACTTTGAGCTTCTGGCTAAGACCCTGAATTGTCCAAGCTGGAGTCTAACTTGCAATCCTCCCGCTTAGTTTCCCAGAATGCTAGGGTTCCAGGTGCCACCACACCTGCTAACTACCCTTTGTTCTAACTCCGCATAGCCAGTTACTGACCTATCAATTCTACCTGGTACCCATTTCCTCTCCTTGATTTGGGGGCGCTCTCTCACTTGGACCAGCTGGCCTCCCTGTCACACCAGCCATTCCACTCTGACCCTAGCTTTCACTGTCACTAGGAATCTGACTAAATACAAGTCTATTGCACTTAAATGTTGTCAAAAAGGAGTTCAAACTCCTGTATCTGGCCATTCATAAGCCAGCTCTTACTTGCCCTCTGACACTTCCTATATGTACACTGTATTCTGGCAATACTGAACAACCCTGAATTCCTACACAAACTGTCATGCTTCCAACAGCACGAACTTGTTACTTCTGTGCCCAGTGACATCATCCTTCAGGACTCAACTCAGAGTCAATATCTTTTTCTGTAAGAAATAGTCCCATTTCCTAAAGTTAGGAGGATGAATTCATCATAGCCAGGCATTGTAGCACATGCCTTGTGATCACAACACTTGGGAGGCAGAGGTAGGAGGATCATTACCAAGTTTGAGACCAGCCTGGGCTATAGAGTGAGCTCAAGGGCAGCCTGAACTGCATAGTGAGACCCTGCCCCAAAAAGAAGAGAGAGAGAGAGAGAGAGAGAGAGAGAGAGAGAGAGAGAGAGAGAGAGAGAGAGAGAGAGAGAAAGACAGAGACAGAGAGAAAGAAAAGGATGAATTCATTTTTTTGTGGGGGAGGGGCATACTGGCAATTAAACTCAGACCTCATACTTGCCAAGTAGGTGCTGCACTGCTGAGCTATATCCCCAGCCTGAATTCACCTTAATTATTATAAGTTACTACAGTAATTCAATTGTTTCTATCATGAGGCAAAGCCAATATGTGATTCATGCTTACATTGCACTTAATGCATATTTATGAACAAATGGCCTTGGGTAAGTTAGTGTATTACCTCTAAAACAGGTAATACTTTCCCCATTTTTTCTAGTAGTAATATATACACCAAGACAAAATAAGCAAAAAAGCATTTTGGAGCCAGCTGTGGTGGCATATACCTGTAACCCCAGCACTCTGCAGGCTGAGGCAGGAGGATGGCAAACTTGTGCCTAGCCTGGACAACTTGATCATCTAGTGAGAGCTTGTCTCAAAATTAAAAAAAGAGGCCTGGAGATACAGTTTAGAGTGAAGGCCATGGGTTTAATTCCTAGCACCAAAACACCCAAGTTTTAGATGACGATGTTAACATCCCAGTCCTACAGCATGGCTTGGCCTTTTTTTTTGGTACTGAGGATCAAGCCCAAGGCTTTCCAACTGAGCTATATCTGTAGCCCTTTCTCAATGTTTTATTTTGAGATAGGGTCTTACTAAATTGCCCAGCTTAGCCTCAGATATGTGATCCTCCTGTCTAAGCCTCCCAGAGTGCTGGGATCGCAGGCATGCATTTTCTTTTCTTTTTTATGTATTTGGTACAGGGTCACACTATGCAGATTGGACCCGCAGTGATGTTCCTGTTTCCAGTCTCCCCAGCCCTGAGATCATAGGCGTGCACCACCGCTCCTGGTCTCCACAGCCGGCTCAGTGCTCCTGGGGGCAGGGCTGGTGTGGCATGTGGTGCTGGCATCAAACCTCAGCCCCTGAGCTTGCCTAAGCAGGGCATACATGTTCACAAGCTCTCATTTTCCTAGCCTCCCTTCTCTCAGTGCTGCTCTCCCCACAATTACTTTCCCCTTCTTTTATTTACTCAGTGAATCTAAACCAGGAAGTCATTGTTCTCTTTGCATGACAACAAATTACTGCCAGGTTATACTAGAAATTAATAAATATGTAAGTCTGTACATTATACTTACATTTCAAACTATCTCTAAATTTAGGACAGCTATGGAGTAACCAGCAACAAGGATTTAAAAACCAGGTGAAAAGGAAAAACTTAGGACAAAAATCATTTAGCATTTTTTGCTAATTAATAAGGATACACACAATTTTACTCCATTAACCATTCAACAGTCTACCCTGAGCACCCACTGAGGCAGCACCAACTATCCTGAGTGCTGGGAGGTGTCTTTCAACTTGTGGACTCTTGTACAGAATAAATTTGGAAAAACTGTCATTTTTATATTTCTGTTATCTTATAAAAATCAATGAACGGGATATGCAATTTCTGTGCATCTACATTTAAGTAATTGGACTGGCAAGTGGCTAATACTCCACTATCACCACTGAATCCTAGGACGCTCTAGGACTGCAGTGAAAATCCATCTTCGACCTCTTCCTTCACTTTTCCTCCTCTTTTACAAATATTTATGGGTCACATTTGCTGCCCCACAAGCATAAACTTGTACCACAGTTTGGCTTTTAGCTGTTACGGCCATCTGGATTGTAAGCCTTTGGTGGGTTGGGGCTGTGTTTCATATTTTTCTTGTAATCTATCTGCACTTATTTTTTAAAAAATAATTTTATCGAGAAACAAATAGCAATGAGACAGTTCCAAAACCGGTTACTGGCACAGTTTCAATAATTAATACATTGCAAATTGTCTTAGTGATTATTCATTGTGTAAGATGCAGACATGATATCCTGTCCACAAACACTATTAGAACATATCTCTCTATTCATTAAGAGAATGCAGCTGTATATCTATCTTATTTTGAATATACAAATACAAAATGGTCGTTCATTTGTACCCCCTTTTCTTGTTTAGTTTTGTCAGAGAAGCATATTTGTCATTTAAATATTGTAGGTGTGTGAATTCAGCAAATATTCCAATATAGTTCAGTAGTCCATAATAGTAGTGGGTTTACCGTATCTGCACTTATTAAGTACTTATTGTATCCTAGTCTACTATATGCCAGACCCTGAACTAGACAAACCCAATCTATGTATTCAATAAATGCTGCAAAGATCATGATTTCAAAAGTCTTCAGCATCTACATTTTCCAAAGCAGTTTAGAGAAGTTCAGGAAACTAAGCAACTCTGCACTAGTCTTGGGTTGTGCTTTATAAACATTATCTTCCCTGGTTCTGAGTTAGAAAACTCACCCAGAATCCAGCGGATTACAAGGTAACATCAAACCCCAGGCATGCGCCCTTAGCTGCTTGCTCTGTCTCCTTGAAAGGCTACATTGAGAAAGGTGAGGCGAGATGCAGTGGCACAGACCTCCACATTTCAGCAGCTTTCACTTCCTGCACAACATTCTTCCCTCCACCTCTGCCTCGTTTTGTGCTCCCAAAGCACTCTCTGTCCACCCACCTCTAATCTTTTTTTCTGTTTTTTGACACAGGGTCTTGCTATGCAGTTCAGGTTGGCCTTGAGCTCCCTGTGTAGCCAAGGCTGGTCTCCAACACGCAGTGATCCTCTTATCTCAGCCTCCTGAGTATTGGGATTACAGGTGTGTGCCTATAACATTAGGTCAGTATGGACTAATTTACTTGCTCACGGGTTGGGATGGCACTCCTCACCCCACATAGCCAGTATATGACCCAATGCTTGGCAGAGAGAAAACCTCACATATTTGTTGAACAAATATATGGTTAACTACACAATAAGAGCTAAGAGAAAGGACTTCACCCAGTGCCTCTGTATGTCAGGTGTTTTATCTATAGAATCTCATGTAATTCTCACAACAAACATGAGATATTAACTGTTCTCCTTTTATAGGTGAAGCAGCTTTGGCTCTGAGGGGCCTCACCAATTCACTCGCCCAACGTGAAGTTCCCAAGTGGAGTTCATTATACCATGCAACAGGCTTGGGCAAATGTGGTGTGGTAACAAGGGACAAAACCCTCATAGTCTCAGAGGCAGAAATGGACAAAAATTACTCCTTTCGGCACTGAAGGGCCAGTCCAAGGGAGAAGAGGTTTCAATACTGTTCGAACACTGGACATGCTTGGATCTAGGCGTTGACATGCAAGAAGGCACAAGTGGGACGAGCCCTAGAAACCTGAATCATTTCTGTCATTACCTTTCTTCCTAGCTGTGCGCAACTCCAATCAAGGCTTCACACTGCTGACGAAGAGGGCCTTTAAAACACGTCTGATCACTGCACTCTCTCAGCTCCCCAAAGCTGTGGCCTTATCGCCCAATCCTGCACACTCAGTCATCAAGTGCCCCACTGGCTCCCATTAGCCCCAGAGGCTTAGAAAGCTCTTCCTCTAAATTCTGCCTGATAATAAAGCTAAGTTCAAAAGTTCAAGACGTTCTCTCTTCCTTTCTTTTGGAGACCCATTGCCCTCAGTACAATCAAGACAGACCCAGCTACTATCAAGACAGGCCAGAACTTCTCCGTCAGGCGGCCAGCTGCATATCACAGGGAAATACGGCGCACTGGCTGTTGAAGGCGTCCCACTCAGTGTGGTCCCCAGACCCGCCGCCCAGCAGACGCTGGGATGACAGGAGGGCGAGCCACCTGGCTTTAAGGGTGCGAAGCTCTGGTTTGGAATACACACTCCGAGGTCTGATTTAGGAACAGGATCTGCGAAGTGCAGCAAGCCCGGTCCAGGGCAGGCTGCTCCGATCTCTCCTGTGTTGTTTCTTCGTCTGCAGCTAATACCTCTTCACAGATGTTTTTGTTTTTTAAAAGACCTCTATCCTAAAAAGACCTCAGAGCGTCAATAGCACCCTGCATGGAATGAATGCTCATTTTTGCACAAAGCACGGTACAAACTGAGGGACGTCCCAGGTTTTCTAGCTCACTGTGGGCAACGCCAGGTCCTGTCTCACCGCGCCTGCTCCCCAGGGGGCCGCGACGAGCCCGCTCGGCCGGTGCTGCCGAGCCGCCCGGGCCGCACCGCCCGAGGCGCGGGCCCCCGAAGGGTGCGCGCGGCGCGGGAGCCCAGCCCGGAGCGCCTCCCCGGGCCCGCAGGCCCCTCACCCGCGGTCAGCGGCGGCCTCCGCCGAAGCGCGTTGTCCACGATGCCCGAGCAGTAGCCGAGGAAGCCGCAGTAGAGGAGCCGCGGGTCGGTCATCTTGGGCGGAGGCAGGCTCCGGGCCTCGTCCGGTAGGAACTGTAAGGGCACGCGGCCCGGCCGTCCGTCCATCATGGTGACGCCGGCCCCTCCCGAGGCCTGGCCGGCCTCAGCGCTCCACCGCAGAAGAAGTCACCGCGAGCCCTCCTCGCGCTCGGGCTCAAGGGCAGAGTGTGCGGCGGTGCAGCGCCCGCGCCTTCCGGCCGCAGTGCAGCGCCCGCGCCTTCCGGCCGCCGCATACCCGGAGCCCGGCACAGAGGTTCCGGGCTCGGGGCGGCCGGGCGGGGCGGCGAGCTGCGCTTGACGAAAGCCAGGAGGCTTACTATTTTTTACCCCAAGCCTAATTTTCTCATCTGGAATTGCCTATCCCTCCCCGCCCGGAAAAGTCCCTTCAGCAAAAATGCGTCTTCGCGTTTAGCACTCACATGTGGGAGCCACGAATTGAGACACTAAAAGCTATTTTTCTGTTCACGACCGTTCATCCGCGCAGCTCCGCCCGCCAAAGCCTAAGATTAGGTCCAGACAGCAGCGAAGAATTCGAAGAAGCCCGGGACTGGATCGGCCGGCTTACTAAAATTTAGTTTTGGTGGCAGTCCCTAAAATGTTTTACCTCTGGGTCTTCAGGTTCCTTGCTCAAGGCTGGAGGAAGATGTAGTCTTTAAGTTTGATAAATGGAACAAAGACTTTCTGTCAAGCAATTAGTTGCCAGCCTTTGCTCAGTTCCTACCTCCAACAACAGCGAGCTTCCAACTTGGGGCAGCTTTCTTCAGAAAGCCCTTCCTAATACTGTACAGACATTAAAATGCTTTCTTGCTGTGTCCATTCATCTGTGACGTTCAACATTTTATCCAGAAAGCTAACTAATCCAGAGGTCAGTGCAAAGGCATATGCATCAAAGGTATTGATTTCCACAGTAGAAGAGTTACATAGCAGCTAAGAGCAATTAAAAGATGAGGGGCATGTAGCTCTGCGGTAAATGGTTGCTTAGCAGCACGAGGACGTGAGTCCCATCCCCTTCCCCTGAAAAGAACAAAGGATGGCCTATGTTTTTTTTAAAGTACTCCCTGATCTGTAATATTTCAAGTTAACATTATCCTGGAGAATGTGTACTGCAAATCTCCTGAAAGGCACCAAATGCTTTAGAAGCTCACACTGTTAGCCAAGTAATTAGAGGTCTGCGATTCTGTCCTGCAGAATTAGTATGACCTGAAAAAGCTTTTCCCCAGTTTTTCCTTTAAGCCAGTGTTTCTTTTAAAATTATATCAAAAGAATGAAACCCAGCAACAATGTTCCCAGAAGGCTGTTGTAAATCCGAACAAGTTAGGCAAATACACATTAAATAATGTTTACAAAGATTTTAAGATGGTGTGAGATGTTTATGTATTGAATGGGCCAACTAAGGCTCAGCATCCACATAAACTTTTGTGCATGCTATCAGACAATTTTTGATATCTTCAAAATGATTACAAGAAACAATGGCTGTATCCTGGTAGTGAACAGGTGACTAGGCACAGTTCAAATTTTTCCCTGCAAATATTGAACTCACTCAGAATATCTGAAAGCCTTTGGCATTCCATCTGACTTAGAATAAAATCTAATTTCTTATAATAACCTAAGAGATTGGCTGATTTGGACTCTAATTCCTCAACCTCAACTTGTTCCTCTTCCAGCCTTTGATGACCCTGAAGCCACTAGAACAGCTTCTTGTGAGCAAGAATGTATCTTTCCTGTTTACCTTTTGATCTCTGGTACCTAACACAGTGCCTAACCCCCTAACAGGAAGTCAGCATTTTTTTTCAAGCAATAATGACTGATGTGCAAAGTCTTAGGAAGGAATAAAGGCAAAGCCTAGCATAATGCTTGGCATATTGCTGGCCCTGTATTACTCTAGAGGCTGTCACAGAAATGGGAGTGGAACCTCATGTATAGCTGCAGACAGTAATAGGCGAAGGTCAGAGGAAGAAAAATACGAATGTATAGGGCCAGGGAGATTGGTCAGTGGAATAAGCACTTCCCTGGCAAGCGCAAGGGCCTGAGTTCAATCCCCCGTTCCGCAAAAAAAAAAAAAAAAAAAAAAGAATGCCTTACACAAAATTGCAGAGCTTGGCTGCTGCTCCTTCCTTTTTGCTCTTATGGTTTTGCTCTTTTCCACTGCCATGAACTGCTGCCCTCTGCCATGCAGCATTCTGCTTTGGAGACAGCGAGTATGGACTGAAACCTCCACAAACTGTGAGCTGAATGAACTTTTCTTCCTTAAAAAAATTTAGAGCCTGGTGTTAGAATGAACGAGTGGGGCCAGGCGTCCCCGGCTCAGGACCTGAACTGTGGTTTGCAGTCTGCTGCTGGGGAAGAGCTGTACATCGAAGTCTCCCAGCTTCATTTAGTGTTGTCACTGTGCAATCCAGTGAAAAGAGCTCCCCAGAACCAGGTGTACAGACCAGAACAGCACACTCTGCCTGTGAATGCCAACAGGAAAATCCAAGAGCTGGTAGTGACCCTAAACTATTTTGTTTGTTGTTTTTGATACAGAGTATTGCTGGACAGTTTGGGCTGGCTTTGTGCTCACTTTTGTAGCTGCTAGGCTGGTCTCGAACTCGCAGAGATTCTCCTCGTTCAACCTCCCGAGCACTGGGATTACAGGTGTGTGCCACCACGCCCAGTTCCAGGGCTGCATGGTGGGTGATTCCATCCAGGGCAGATCTGGTGTGCCCGGGCATCTGGGCCAGAGAACACACAGCATGTGGGGCCAGGGATCAAGCTTGGGTTCTTGTGCATGCCAGGTAGGTGCTTATTTATGCCTCTGAGCTATCTCCCTAGCCCCAAACCAAAACTATTTCATGTAGAAATACAAAATGGCATTTTATTTATCTTGCTCTCAATTTAAGACTGCAATTATATTTTATATCCTTGCAATAGGCAGCATGGGCTACAAATAAGTATGCTGTTCATTGGACTCCCTGTTTTCTTCAGTGAGCAGGGCAGTCTAATATATCCGGCAACCTGGAGAGGAAGGCGAGCTTCTTTTCAGATGTGTTTCACTGCTTAAGGAGGTCACAAGGCTTCTCGCCACGGTGACAGTGGGGTTGCTGGGCTGAGCAGGGCCAAGTGTGGAAGAAAGGCCCTCTCGACAGACCTGCTGAGAGGAATGGCTCAAGCCCCTGGCAGCCGTCTTCAGGTTCAGATTAATTTCCCAAGAAGCAGCTGTTGGCCTTCTTCCAAGCAGCTCCTTTATTCACTGCTTCTTCGTCTTGCCAGCAGGAGGGCTAGTCAGCATGGAAACATACAGCCTGCACCACGCATATGTAATGCCCACAGCACAATACACTGAAGTCAGCAACAGAGGGGTGAAGGGGTACTCAAGCCTCCAGGAGGTAAAAGGGAACACGAACTCACAGCACACTTCCAAAGGCACCAGGCCCAGGAGGTAGAAAGTTTCCATCCAATTAAAAAGAGGTTTTTCTTTTCTGAAGGAAAAAGGAGCAGAAAGCCCGATTTTAGTTGAGTGATCCTGGTGGCACACATTTTCCTGCTGAAGCTCCCCGGGCTGCACTGTCTTGATGTGACACGGCCAAGACCAGAGTCAAAAGACTGCGTTCAATTTTACATGAATAATCTGACAATGGCAATTTTACATGCATAATCTGACAGTGACATGCCATGCCATCACCCCACCAGCCCAGGTTTACCCAAGGCTCTGCTGTGCTGGCATTACTTAGGGAAAAGTAGCCCTGCATTTGCAGACATAATTTATATATTTTTATTTATTTACTTTCAGTACTGGGGATCAAACTCGGGACCTTCCACTTGCCAGGCAGGCGCTTACACTGCTGAGCTATATCCCCAGCCCCTAGCCTTGCATTTGGAAGAGGGGAAGCAGGGCTCTGCATCACTAGAATATGATAACGTATAACTGAACATTTTTTTTAAAAAGGGTTATTTTGGCAAAATATAAATCATGAAATTTGTTATTTTAATCATTTTAAAGTATCCAATTCAGTGACACTAAACATATTAATAATGAGCACCCATTACCACTAACCACTTTCAAGTTTTTTTCATGACCTCAAACCGAATAGAAGCTGTGGAACCATTAATAATTCAGCATTCTCCAGCCCCTAATCTATCATCTAGTTTTTGTCTCTATGAATTTGGCTCTTCTTGAATTTCATCTAAGTAGAATCATATACTATTTTTGTTGCTTTTTGAAACAGGGTCTCTCTCTATAGTTTAGGCTGGCTTTGAGCTCAGTATGTATTCCAGGTTGGTCTACAACTTGTGGCAATCCTCCTGCCTCAGCCTTTCGAGTGCTAAAACTACAAGTGTACACCACCACACCCAGCTCAGATTTAATATTATATAATGTTTAGGAGAGAAAAAACTATCCATAATTCTGTAATATATTTTACATACTACCTTGTAGTCTTTCCCATGCGTATATGTACTTAGATATGTAATTTTATTCATAAATTTTTGTGTGATGTTGGGAAACTAATTCAGGGCTTTCACACTGAATGACAACCTAGGCCCCTTTTAAAATTTCAGACAGGGTTTCACCAAGTGATTATATTGTCCAGGCTGGGTTTAAACTTTCTATCTTGTGTCAGCCTTCAAGACTGCAGGGATTACAGGTATGTGACTCATATAAAGTATTAATTTAAGGCAGGTGATCTTCCTTAACTATTTCCCTGAACTAAACATACAACCTGTGGTATTGTGCCAGAATGACAGGATTATGGATGCCCTCTCCTTCTACTTACCAGTACACTGTCATGTTGTTATTTTACTATCACAATTTTAAAATAGACTGGAATAGCTGGGTGTGGTGGTATACATCTATAATCCCAGCACTTGGGAGGCTGATGTCGGAGGACTACTTTGAGTTTGAGACTGGCCTGGGCTACAGAGTGAGACCCTGTCTCAAGGAAAAAAAAAAAAAAAAAAGCCTGGGGCACCACCCTCAATATCAAATACAACAAAACAAAGAAACAAACATTAAAAAAACTTAAAAATAACCAGCTAAGAGTAAATAATTCACAATTCATAAGAGTACACATAATTTTAAATGTGCTTTTCTGATTACCTGAATAGTGTCATCAGTGAAGAAATACTGTAGGTAGTGAATAGTAACATGAGTAAGATTTTAATGGGAAGTTCTGTTAAAAGAACAAAACAAATGCAGATAAGAATTTAGCTGATATGGGGGATATTTATATTTAAGGTGATATAAGCAAAATGAGATAATAATCACATATTGTTTTTGACCTCTGTGTTATCTTTTTATCATCTAGAGATGTTTAAAATTAGGGTAAATTGCAGGCTTTATATAAGAGAATGCATTGGACCTCTCCTCCCACCAGATTAGCAGTGACACGGGTCTGTAGGCCATGATGTACAGGCCGTGGCAGTCGAAGGCCTCACTCTACAAGGCAGCCACTTACCTGGTGCAGTAAAGAGCAGCGGGAAGAGCGAGTAGTGTCCCGTTGTGGTCAGAATCAGAAAGATGGAGGCGTCTCCTGCTTTTTCCACAGACAAAAGGCTAAAGGTAAAAGGTACTGAACTAAATTGAGGAATATCCAAAAATGAACCTTTCTCCATAACTGCCTTCTCCAAAGAACCAAACACGGGGACTAGGAGCTGCCTAGTGGCTCTGGCTGGGGAGCAGAACCGGGAATTTCATTTCCAAACCTATAGCCCGTCTCCTGGGTGATGTCCTGCACCTGCAGGATGGGTTCAGGCTACAGACATAAGAATTCTGCTCTTAAGTTTTAATTCAGAAATACTGTGCTAATCCCAGCACTTGGGAAGCTGAAAACAGTAAGATCACTATGAGTCCGATCTGAGTAGTAAGACCCTGTACTAAGATACATTTTTTAAAAAGTGGGGGGGGGGTGGAGGCCAGGAGATGGCTCAGTGGAATAAGTACTTCCCTGGCAAACACAAAGGCCTAAATTCAATCTCTGGGGTGGGGAGAGGGGGGAGATACTGTGCTGCTAAATAAAACCAGAGAAATCATATACTCATTCAATTTTTTTTTTTTTGTGGCACCGGATATTGAACTCTGGATCTTATACATGCCAGGCAGGCACTTATGCTGCTGAGCTGTCTCCCAGGCCCCCAAAATATGTGTAATATTTTTGTCTTTCAGTTTAATAATTTTTCAAGATTTGAGAAAAATCTCAAGAAACAAGGGTCATTCCATTACCACCATCCATCTACTGACTTTCAATTATTCATAATGGATATTACATAAAATTTCAAAAATAATTATTTCTTTATTTTTGAAGCACGGTTTTGCTATGTTGTTCAGGCTGGCCTTGAATTTGTTTTTTAGCCCAGAGCCTTGAACTAATAGACATGTTCCTGCCTCAGTCTTCTGAATTCTGAGATTATAGGCATGTGCCACTATGCCTGGCTAAAAAACCTGTTTTAATAGCAGGTAGGGGCTGGTGAGATGGCTCAGTGGTCTAAAGCTCCTACTTAGAACAAACTAAGCTAAGCAAAGCACAGGGACCGCGCGCGCTTCAATCCCCCAGCACCACATGCCAGCCAGCCCCGCCCCCTGGTGGGCTGAGCTGGCCACACACAAAATAAATAAATAAATTAAAAAAAA